AAGCCTAACGAGTTCTCTGGTTTATGTGTGTTATACATCTATTAATTACTTGAATAGAAAATTTACAATTGAACTTTCACAAAGGTTACAGAGTGATATCCCTGCACTGACCATTGCAGCTGAGCTTCTGCTACAGATTCTGACACGTCAGGTGACTGAATGTTTGCTTGTTTTCTAGGCTCTCCTTACAGTCCATCCAGGTCATGAAATATAGAGGGGATTTCTTGAGAGGCAGCTTTTAGACCTCATTCCCTTACCTTCATGGTCAATGCCATCAGCGTCACTCTCCCAGTACAATGCCATCAAGATATGTCTCGTAGTCCTTTGCTTTTCATCTGGCAGGAAAGTCACCACACAAGTGCACTTTTAGTTGTGTAGTGTGAATGCAAATCGTTCTAGTGTGGCATCTTGAGGGCAGCATTGGACAGTAAACCTGACGTATGCACTTGGCCATCTTGAAGCTCACTAGTTTCTGCTACTTTCAGGCATACTGAATAGGCGTGCTTTCTATGGAAAACTCTCAGCAGGTGTCTGAAATTACGTTACACCTTTACGTTTCGGAAGCCGGCGCTCGGGAGGGGCTCTGCTGCGGGCCCGACCCCTCAAGGCGGTGCCGGCCGAGGCCCTGCGCTGCACAGGGGCGCGGGGCTGCAGTTCCCGGCGGCGGCGGCCAGGCCGCTCGCTCGCAGCCCGGGACTACATCTCCCGGCGGGCCCTGCGGCGGCGCCACGCCTGATGCGCCGTGGGAGGGGCCGTAGGGACGAGGCGGGCGCGCGGGATCGTGCGCCGGGAGCGGGATGTGCGCGTTGAGCTCCCGGCGCCTCTCCCGCGCGGGACCGAGTCGCGGGAGCGACGCTGGAGGGGTGAGGTCTCCGTCTGGCCGCCCGCATGGAGCTGAGCAGCGCAGAGGCGGCATCCACCCGATTCCTCGGCCTCACTCAGCGGTACCGGAGGCGGGGGCTGAGCTCGGGCGGGGCGCGGCGCGGTGCGGACCCGCCCTGGCCGTGGTGGAGAGGCGGCGCTTTGCCTCCACCGGCCGAGGCCGGAGGGGCCGCGCGAACGGGCGGGCGGCCCTCGGGCAGGGCAGCGGCGGGAGCCCCCGAGCCGCAGCCGCCTCCCTCAGAGCTGCTGCAGGTGGCGTGAGCGGAGTCGGACGAGTGTCTTCGGAATCTGTTTCGGAGCTTATTCAGCGTTGCCCTCGCGCAAGCAGATACCACTAGGATATCTCTGCAATTATCCGATTGCTGAGTGCGCTTGTACCTGTGACTGCTTCTTAGATGAAAATAGATTGACCCATACTGGCAAGTAGACATGTGGAATGTGAGGAGAATGGCGAGCCAGAAGGCACGCACGCTATGTCGTTGTGATCACACAGGTGCAATCTGCAAACTCGCTCCCTTCTGCCACTACCCTTCTGCCCCCAATTAAAGTGCTTTCCAGTGTCGAACTCCTAAAAGCCAAAACTTGTGATTTGACACTAGGATCCTAAAACCGTCTAGATTTAGATCAGCAAATATGTTTATGCTTCGTTGTTCAACTTTCAGGACTGTTGAAGTTTGTAGGAGTTTCTGTTGAAATGGGAGGAAGCTAGTCCTATCTTCTCTTTGTCATTACTCTTCATTTATACAACAGCGCCTGTTTCTAGACAAATGGGAGAGAGAGGTGCAGTGTACCTTAGGTGCTGTACAAATGCACGTGAGCTAATTTTTTTCATGTCAGTAAAGGGTCATCTGTATTTAAACACTTTGCAATATAAGTAAATTTTAAATTAAGTCAAAGTGATCTGAGCCACTGAGGAATTAACCTCTTCAGTGCTGGCAGTTCACCTTAATAGGATGAAAACTACTCTAAAACTGTCATAACTGGAGAAACAGTTTTTCTGATGTAGTAGATCAGGTCAGGACTGAGAAAGGATGTAATTCAATGAGAAAGATTAATATAAACAGTTGATGTTAATCACAGTGTGTTTTTTAAATTAGCTGATGTGATGTGTCAGAGAGTTGAGTACAAATCATGGTGGTAACCACGAACAGAAAGCCAAAGAGGTACACAGGCAAGAATTCATTAAGGAGTATATGCACTTACGCAAATAACGCGATAATGTAAATCTTACCTATGCATAAATCGAGGCTAAGACGCCTAACTTTCATGAGATTGTCTGTGTAGCGTTTGTGTTGGTGTGAGATTCTGCTTTAATTACTTGAAACAAAGGAGATGACACTTATGATACGAAGTAGTTGGGTTGAGAAGAAGCAGAGATTAGCTATTGGGTATAATTCTGATTTTTAAAAGGACTGCTAGTGTGTTTGAAAGTTAGGTATGTTTTCGGTAGTTTAGGGACACAAATGGATTAGAATATTAATATTAAAACACTTGTTTTAATCATTTGTTCAGATATACTCTAGGTTTTTTAATTAGTGAGAGCAGTGTGAGAAAAATGCTTTTAATACCCGAAGGTATGGTTTGTGATAAGCCACTATATTTCCTCAAGTCACTGGAGTGCAGTTTGTGGAGAGGATTGGACCATAAACCTTTCTGATGCACAAACTGCTCTTCAAGTGTTTTCTGAGCTTGTCTGTATTTTCCCTCTGTATCATGTGGTCTGAGAAAACATTATTTCTCCAATGAAACTTGCTTGTTCCTCATGTTCTCCACATCATTTGATTAATATACCCTGTCTCTCTAGGTCTGTGAATTTATGTAACCTTGGTAGGAATAGATCTTAGGCGTTTGGGCTGGGATGGATTCCTGTGGATTCACCTTACAAGGCATGCGTGGTTATCACATCTTTCTTTTTCACCTGTGTCACCATAAATGTCTGTGACTGTGAGATTGCACTAGAGGCTGGCTGTGGTATTGCGGTAACTCATCTCAAGACCTGATGAATGTGAAGCCTCTTCCAGTTTCCTTGCAGAATGTGACAGTGCTGTCTCCTTGTTATTGTATATATACTGCTCCTGTCCACATGCTTATCATGTCTGTGCTTATCATTGTGTATAGGACTCTAATACAGCCCTGCTCTGTGTCATTCTGTCATCAGCAAAGCTGGTGAAATGTGAAATGTTGGAGTATGTTGGAGTGCCTCCTAGAGGCAACTGTTTTATAGCTTGACATTATGGAAATGTTTAAAAGAAAAATCTAATAACCATACTGAAATTATTTAGATAAAAAGGGTTTCTTTGAGAACCTAGAATAGAGGATATATTCGTATGGTAGAGAATATAGTTTGTAGGCATCACACCAGTTGTGAAGAGCTCTGTATTTCTAAGTACAGATAAACCACAAGTTTGCATATCAGTGGGTTTTCTTCAACATCCTCTCTCTCATGGTCATCAGGGAGTCTTTATGGTGACCTTTTCTTTGAACTAATCTGTCTTCAGAATTTTGCTAGAAGAAATGTTGAGAACACTTGAGAGTGTTTTTTCCACGTTGAGGGAAAAAAAAAAGATTTTTATGTAGCAACCCCAGCTTAACTCTGCACCTCGCTTTGTCTGTTGTTTTTGACTCTCTGGTTGGGAAATGTTACTGCAGTAGTCATTGTTGGTATGTATCTTGATCTTAATTCAGATCAGACCAGGCTCTTTACTTTGGCACTTTGTATTTCTGAGTAAATGGTTTTCATGTCATGTCTTTCTTTAACTCAATAACCAGTATTTTGTTACATTAGTGCATACATGTGTTGTATGCCAAAGCCATTTCTTATTTCTGTGCCCTGTGTTTGGGTTTGAATACTCATTTTGTGTTTTACTTTTTAAAGCTTTTTGTTAGCTGCTGACTTTGTTATCTCTGCAGCATTAATATGCTCAGATCTTAGCATGCTTTTTTCTGAGAGTTTCTTTCACTCAGCTAAAATATCACCAAAATAAGATATAGAGCTTACTTTGTGTATGCAGATAGTTCTCAAATGCCTCCGTAACTCCCTGGCTTTATCATGCAGGTAATTCACAAGATGGTATTTTCCCCTGATTTCATGTGTTTTGAGGGTAGCTTTGCCACAAGGCAGGAAGTAGTTCAGTTTTATAAAGCTCAGCTTGCTTTTTCTGCTGCTTTGTGGAGCTGTTGCATGACTGATGACAGTGACAAATTATCCAGGTGGAAATGGTTCCATTCCAAACACCATAGGCCAGATACTCTTTGTGGTGACTTTCTAATTTGTATTATATTTGTGTTTGGGATTGTCCAGATGTCTGCCAGCAGTACTGACAGTGCCAAGTATTTATTGATCTGATTTGCTTTTACAGTGGTTTCTAAGGCAACTAGCACACCTAGTCACAAAAACAGATTTTGTAGAAGAAAAGGAGCACACAAAAAAAATGCTAGTGCTACTATGATTAACTGATTCTCTAAAAGTAAAACGTATGAAGATGTTACATGAAAATTTAGATATTTCTTCTGCTTATTGATGTAACATTACAATTTATAGTACTGATAATTCTCAGAAAATTTTATCTCATGTTGCTAGATGGAGGGTTTCTTGTTTCACTTGGTTAGGGGTTTTTTCCATTAAAACTAAATAACTTTATTTTCATAACTGCTGACAGAAGGGAGAACTGTAAGTTTGGAATATGATGGAGGGATTGATCTGCTGGCCCTGGTACAGTCTGGGTAATCAAGGTCTATGTTAAATTTCCACCTGCATCTTTATTTAGCTTGTGTTTGTAACATGTATATCTCCATTGCAAAGACAAGGGGCTTAGTGTTTGTAGTTAGAGGAGGTGGTGCTTAATGTAATATGATGGTACGAGATTATATGTGATAATGCAGGTAGATTTTAAACTTCATATTCTAGGATTATATTGGTTTACTTGATAATTCTGTCTTTGTTAAGGTGGTGGAAGGAAACCTATGAAATGCTGTTGTTTTCTTACCCTTATGAATTAAGTGTAAGAAATTAAGTGGTTTAGTTTTTCTTCATGTGGAGCCTGAAAAGAGACTGGAAAAATCAGTAGCAATGTACAAAGTGTGGTCTTATTGAGTGTAGTGCAGTTGTCCTATTTGAAGCATTAAGTTTACTGTAGGTTTTTCTTCCCTTAGATTTTCAAATGTGGTTATAAGCCACTACCCCCTTTGGAACTCTGATTGCATCATACCTAAATATTTAATTTAATCGTAGCTTTTACTTCCAGTCAAGACCCAGACTCTCAGCTGGAAGGCAGGAGGGCCCTGCAGAGGGACCTGGACGGACTGGAGAGTTGGGCTGATTCCAACAAGATGAGGTTCAACAAGGCCAAGTGCCGGGTCCTGCGCTTTAGTCACAAGAACCCCCTGTAGCGCTACAGGCTGGAGACAGAGTGGCTGGAGAGCAGCCAGGCAGGAAGGGACCTGGGAGTTTGGATTGACAGGAAGCTGAATATGAGTCATCAGTGTGCCCAGGTGGTCAAGAAGGCCAATGACATCCTGGCCTGGATCAGGAACAGTGTGGCCAGCAGGACCAGGGAAGTGATTCTTCCCCTGGACCCAGCACTGATGAGGCCACACCTCGAGTGCTGTGTCCAGTTCTGGGCCCCTCAGTTCAGGAAGGACATGGAGGGGCTGGAGCAGGTCCAGAGAAGAGCAACAAGGCTGGTGAAGGGACTCGAACAGAAGTCCTCTGAGGAGAGGCTGAGGGAGCTGGGTTTGTTTAACCTGGAGAAGAGGAGGCTCAGGGGAGACCTCCTCACTCTCTGCAACTCCCTGACAGGAGGGTGTAGCCAGGTGGGGGTTGGTCTCTTCTCCCAGGCAACTATCAGCAAGACAAGAGGGCATGGTCTTAAGTTGTGCCAGGGGAGGTTTAGGTTAGATATTAGGAAGAAATTCTTTACAGAGAGGGTAATCAGGCATTGGAATGGGCTGCCCAGGGAAGTGGTGGATTCTCTGTCCCTGGAGGTTTTTAAGATGAGACTGGATGTGGCACTTAGCGCCATGGTCTAGGTAACTGCGGTGGTAGTGGATCAAGGGTTGGACTTGATCTTGGAGGTCCTTTCCAACCCAGCTGATTCTATGATTCTATGATTTCTTTTCCTTTGGGGGTAATATGAAAGCCAGACTGCAGTGGCTGCTAGAGATTGTGTAGGCTATAAGGAGTGTTCTCTGCAGCAATGAGTGCACACACTGTGAATCTCATTCAGCAGGAATGATTTTTTTTTTTAATGTTAGAGTATTGCATTGCAGGAAATGTAAGTCCAGTTGATCTGTGTACACTGATGAAGTGTTTCTGTTCCAGGTCTGTCTCTGAAGATCTGGGTTGCAGACGTGGAGACTTTAGCAGAAAGCATTATGGATCTGTGGAGCTTGTAAGTTTATGTAGTTTGTCCTTTGATTTATCACCTTATACAGAGCTGAAATCCTTTTCATTTCCAGGTAAAAAGATTAAATTTAGTTTGGAAAATGTGCTTTCTAAGCTAGACTTGGCAGTTGTAGACTAATAAGAAGAGTCTTCAGAATAGATATTTTAGGCCTGTGATTAGAAATATTTTTACTGCGTTATTTACGAATATTTCATGATAACAGGTCAGAAAGTGTTATATAAATATTATCTTTACCTCCAGATGAAATTGAGCCTTCTTTCGTCTTATAAGCTGAAGATTGCAAAATATTAGGGTAGTATTTAATGAAGTACTTGCTATTATGTAAGTCATAAACTGTTTGCATGCTCACACGTGTACAAATGTATGTAATGTTGTATGTACAGGCCTCAGAGTAGTGGGAGAAGGTTTAAAACTAAAAGAACTAGTTAGAATAAATATATAGAAAATGATTCCCTAAAATCTGTCAATTATTCTGTATTTTTTTCAAATTCCAAGATTAAGTTGGCATTTCATTTTTCTCATACATAAATTTCTTCTCTGCTGTGAAAATAGCAGTATATCAGCAGTTAAAATAGTGTCACTGATTACAAGGTCATAATGAAATTATATAAATTACTATAGGAAAGCAGAAGTGAGAGGAAGTAAAGAAAATGAACTCCAGCTCTCTTACTGTGAGAAGAAATCACGAATTTTCTACTAGCTATAGTTGTAATTTAAAGTTCTTGGGTAATATATTTATTAATATGTATGTAAATTGGGTGTATATTGGTGGCTTAGTTGCTGTAAGTTGCATTGCAAGAACACCAGGTATCTTTCTTTTCTTTGCATACATTCCACATAACAGATGTGGTATTTTAGTCAAAAAATACAAGTGAACCATTTTCTGCTAAGAGGCTCTTTCATTACTAATACTTAGACTCTTTTGCTAGAAAAGAAAAAGTTATTTGTAATTATAAATTCGCAGTAAGCTCACACAAATGGTCTTGTCTTTTGGTTGGTTTTCTTAAAATTCTGCTGGCATTTTATGAAATTGTGTCTTTTTATCTTTTGGAGTACAAACATATAAAGGTTCTTGTTGCCCTTTCAAATTTCTAAATGTTCGGTATTTAACTTTTCTTGCTTAATGTTTTCCACAGTAGCATCTTAGTTGCTCAGTTCTTTCCAAATCATTTTGTCTCTGCCCTAAACACTTTTTCATATGTCTTTCCCATTGTGTGCCAGTTGTCCGTATAATTTCTCTTACAGTTTATATAAAGCACGAGGATGCATTGGAGGTTTTGCCCTGTTAGTTTATTTCTGACATAGCCTCAGGGTGCTTCAAAACAAGGAGAAAACTTCAAAATGTGATAACTCTCCTACCAAGTGAAGGAAGAAGATGTTACCCTAGAATAACATAGATTACTAGAGGAAAGCAATGAATTACATTATTGTTGTTCAGATCCCATTTCATAAGTTTGGTATGATATGCGACAATCACCCTTTTTACGGTTTAGGGAGGAGTAACATGCAATATCGTTGGCAGCATTCTCCTCCCCTTCTCCTGTAGGGATCCTAAGCGGTGTTGCAGGACACATGAGAATTACTTCGTTATCCTTTGCTTTACTGTCTTCTCAAGAGCTTCTTTAGCAACAGAAAGAGCTTCAGTGTTCTGTGAATCCCCGGATTCCCTTGTAAAAAGACCAAGCAGCCTTTCCAGATTATTTTTGAAATTGTTGAAGTCTTCAGCTGGAAACAAGCTCTATTTTCTGTTGTTAATGCTGGAAACAGACCAGGACATCTCCTGTACCTTGTGTTGTTCAGCATCATCACTGGGCATTGTGTTTGGAGATTCTTGTTGCTCTCTGTCCCCTAAAAATATCAATAAAGGAAGACATCAATAAATAAAATGCAGTAAAAAACTGCTAGTCCCAGTAATATTGCCAACAAGTAGAGTTTTAGGCTTTGCAAGGCTGAGAGGACAAGAATCATCATGTCTGTAAGACCCATTTTTTGGAAAGGAGCAACCTTCAAGATCAATTTCTGGAAGGCGGACAAGTCCCTCTTTAGGAGTACTGTGTGTTGGCACAGCCAAAATCTGAGACAGGAGAATTTCTGCTTGGTACTTGGATCTACCAAGAGAGTGAATCTCTCACCCATTTGTGCCTACTTAAGAGTTCTTACCGGGCTGTTCAAAGCCTGTAGTCAAATTGGAAATAGTTGGGCCGATCTCTTCTCTTTGGCTAGTTATATGATGCCTGGAACAAGAAGAAATGGTAGTAAGCTTTGACTGCTGATGGTATGGCTATTTTTGGAACTAGAACCTCTATCTTAAACTCTCTTGTAGCTTATATCTAGTGATGCTGATGGAGCCATTCAAAGAGCTGGGCGGTTCCGTGTGGAAAATGGCTCCTCTGATGAGGTAAGTGGCTAAAAATACTCACAGAAAGCTGAAAAAATAATTCAGCTTCAGTAGTTCTTCAGCAATGAAAGATGTGTTTGCAGTCAGTTACTAAGTAAAGAGGACCTGCAAAACGCTAAGTAATAATATGAAAATGTCAGAGTCTAAGAAGAGTAAGTTGGCGGTTTTTTCCCCTCTCACAGGCTAGCTTAGTTTTTCATTCAACAGTATGTAGTCAAAGGGAAAAGCTGGCATTTTGTTTCATTTTGGTAACATTTTTGTTCACCAGTTCACGATAGGAGAAAAATATGAACCCTCTGAATGACACTTCATAGTCTCTAGTTTGTGACTTTATATTGGTGTCCTGGTGGTACAACTGTGTTCAAGCTGACCTTTGTGCTTTTGCGTTTGTTGGTGTGATGAATTTACAGCTTCATTTTTGTCCCCTTAGTTGTCTTTTGGCAGCTGTGCTTATCTCTAAATAAGAAATAAAGAAGGTGAGTGGAGCCTTAGAGTCGTTCCCTCCAGATTCCTGTGCTGCTAAACTCACAGTGTGTCCCTGCAACCACTCCAGTGACACTTAGGTTTTCACTTATCTTCATATATTATCTTCCTTTGTAAAACTTTTTCATCTGTAAATACCATCTTAATATTGAAAGAAAGAAGACCTCATATTCTTGAAATACATGTAAGGTCTTGGTACATTTATATTGAACTAATATTAACGGCAAACTATTACTGATCATCAGTTTGCATCACCACTGGGTGCAGAGTTTAAAGCAATCTAAGTATTCTGCATTGGTTTTCTGTGGGGTCATGTTCGATACTCTGTCTTTTTAGTTCAGTTTCATGCAGTTCAAAAGCTGATTAGCTTATATCACAGAAAGATTCCCAGAGTGGGCGATGAATGGCCACATAGTGAATGAATACTTAGAATGGCTTTTTCTTTGCATATGGTAATTCTTAGTGGAAAAGGACTGGAGGGATGCTTGGGAATTTACCTTAACTGGCTAATCCAGAAACAACACTGAAGAACTTCTAAAGCATGCTTTTGTCAAGCAAGGAGTCCTTGGGAAGAACTGAGAATATGAAACTTGGACGCAGAATTCCATTCGTTAATTTATTTATTTTTAAGATTTAGAATGCTTTTCTTCAAATTCCACATTGAAATCACTGAAATTTTAAGCCAGTGCCTGTGATAGTGGTACACTAGGATAAGTCTGTAGTTAATTAGAAAGAAATGGGGAAAAAAGAGAACAGGAGAGGGAAAAGTTTCAATTTCAGCTACACGCCAACTGACTTCAGAATAATTCTTGCTTTTTAAAAAGCAGTGTACAGCTAAAACTTCAGATGAATCAGCCAGTCTCGACTTTTACCTATATTTTGTCTTTCTTTTTCACTTGGTGTTTAATGTAACAGTCTCTCAATTCTATTTCAGAATACAGACTACACACCGGGTACATGGCACAGAACAGATGTGCATTTGGAAAACCCAGAGTATCACACAAGATGGTATTTCAAATATTTTTTAGGGAAAGGTAATTTTTTTTGTTTGTGAAGGAATTGGAGTTTGAATCAATGAAAATGTAATGTAGCTTTGAATGGCTGTTATTTCAATATGGAAAAAGTGTATTGTTAATTTGGTTTTCTGTAAGCAGTGAAACCTCTGCTACCTACAAGGGATGTTTTGAAAACCTTCTTGGCTTTGAAATCTGTACTTATCTTTTGGAGTTTTTTTACGCATCTGTATATAAAAACATAGTTAGTTATGTAGGCAATTATATATTTTACATATGAATGCATAGATTTACAGGTGTCTCAGCCTCTGCATGAGTGGGTGTGCACATCTTTATGGTTGATACTGTGTCTTGTTTTTCTCCCACAGTTCATCAGAATTATATAGGTACAGATGCAGAGAAGAACCCTTTCTTTCTGTCTGTTGTACTGTCTGACCAAAATAATCAGCGCATTCCTCAATATCATTCAATACTTTGGAGAAAAACAGTAAGAAACAAATATTTAACTGCTGCTCTGACTTGTATTTGGTTTGGGTATGTTTATCATACACTTTTTCTTCAGAATTCCAGTATGTATTATATAATTTCATTTGATACAATAAGAACATATAATTCTACTGTAGTAGATAAAATTAAACTAAATTTGTAGATAACAGTATACTAAACTTTCTGACAGAAATCTGTGATGTCAGATATTTTCTAATTGTGCTTACCTGCAACTCTGCTTTTTTTAGAAATGTTGCCTAAATTGTTCTTGATTATGTCCTGTGATCAATTTAGGCAATTGTTTTCTTTTATAATGGTAAGAAAATAGGCAGGTGTGATACTGTTTTCACTAATATTATTTAATTACATTTTTTTCCACTTAAGGTTCCATAAGAGCCTCTTATTTAAGCAATTGATTTAAAACTCTCTTGTAGGCATGCATGGTTCTTTTTTTTTTGTTTTTTCTCCAAACCGTCATTAAATATAGCTAAATAAAACTAGCTCAGTTTTCTTCTTTGTTTTTTTGCTTAATTGTTTTTATTAATATTTCTACTTGAATAGGTCAGTATGTCCTGTAATATATCCTGGCTTTTCTTCTTTATAGGGTACTCAGAAAATATGTCTCCCTTATAGTCCCACAAAAACATTATCAGTGAAATCTATATTAAGGTATGTATTGACACATAGGTTATCATGTAAGATATTTGCCGATATGCATTTTCCTGTAATTCAGAGCTTGTGTTCCATGGTTTTCATTATAGATTTATAAAAAGAGTAAAAAATTAACTTTGAAAATCTTAATCATTGAAGGCAGCAAAAAGTGGTTTTAAAGCCTGTTCTATAATGGGTAAAGTGACAACTTAAAATAAGCCTGTTCTATAGTGGGTAAAGTGACAACTTAAAATGGAGAAAAATTCTTAGCACTTTTTCTTTAGCAGAGGGACTGTTTTCAAGTTAATTGGAAAACAGATGCTAAATGAAACTGCACTGATTGAGAAGACATATCTTTTAAATTTAGGTAGGCAATAAAGAGCAGATTTTGCCTAGAGAGGTGGTTATTATGTGGCCCTAGCAGGAGGAAGCAAGCAGTCAAGAAGCCAAGAATTATTTTTTCAGTTGGTTGTTTTTGTCTAAGTTTCACTACAGGTGTGTTATGCACAGTGAAGCCAAGAAAATTTCTTCTCTCAGCCAGATGATCGTGCTTGTACTCTGCCCTGCATCTTTTGTGGCAGAAGAGAATATGAAGCGAGCAAACCCAACACTGTTTCTATTTCTTTGAACATTATAATCGGCTGACATGTCAGAGCACCTGTTTGGAAACCATTCATTCAAATTTAATCTACAGTTTTTACAATCTCATCATGTGGTGTATTTTTCTCAAGTCCCTCACTGACAATGTCATCAATTGGATCTTCTGTAAGGATTTTAACTCCTCGAGAAACCCATTAAAAGTGCTACCTTTTACTAAAAAGGCATGTGTAGCAGATCAATGGGCAGTCTGCACATCCTTAGAACCTTTAATCTGCATAGAGTAGGAACAAATGTTTCTTGCTTGATTGAAGCGAGGCCACTGGTTAACACTGCCAATGCCTATGTGAGAGGGGAATTCTGGAAGCAGGGCATGTGTTGTAGTGTGAAGCCACTGCCACCAGATCTGGATGTTCCTACTACTGCTCAAGATTTATGGGAGGTCCCAGACCACTGAATTTTCCAGAGACACTATTGGGCCATTGAGTCTCACTTTGTAAATCTGATTTCCTGGGCTGTGGCTCCATTTTGGAATGTCAAGATGGTGAGCTGAAAACACTTCAGATGTCTTTCAGCTTCATCAAGATGAGCTAAGTGCCCTCTTCTAATTCCTACAGCGCTGGCTTGAATAGTATTCCTAGTCTGTACTGCATTCTTTACCTGCATAAGTACCTGATTTTCTCTGTCTGCCCACCAGTCTCTGAAGTATCTCTTCCTAACATCCCTTTCCAACCCAGCCTCTCCCTCCACTCCACTCCACCCACATATGCCGTTTCAGTCAGGCATTCCAGAGTGGAGAAACTTTGTCATCTGTTAGCTTGGGTCATAACTCTTTTGCTGAAGCATCCTCACATGGTCCATCCTGTGATGCTCCAGTATTTTGCAGAGAAAAATGTAGGCTTGTTTCAGACCTTGTTCCCCATTTCTTCCAGGGTCTGTGTCACATGCATTCAGCTGCATAAATGTCATCCCCCTCTGCCTGCTTCAGCTTGGACTGAAAACTCCTCCCTGACTATTTTTTTGCTCTTATGGTCCTTGAGCCATCCCTCAGGCCTGACTGATATTCCTTTGACAGTTCAACCTTTTCGTACCTGGTGTGAATCTAGGTACAGACTGTCTCAAAGCCTTTTGGTTACATTATTAAACCTATTTTTTGTAAATTGATTAAAACATTTTAATCCCTTTCAAAAGGTACTAAAACAAATTGTGTCTGCACTGTGATCTAGCATAAGCAAAAATGCAAAGATTTGACCTCCGTGTTAGTTCACTGTGCCCCACACAAACTGCATTTGGCACTCCATGACATGCTGCACAGTTCTATAACTTAATGATTGGGGAAAAAAAAGGGAGTAAAAGTAAATGTAGAAGCATAACTTAGGGAAAAATGCTATGAATTAGATATTTCTGTTTATTGAGGCAGTAGATCTTCTTATTTAAATATCTTTTCAGTTCTGTCTGTGGGTCTTTGGTATGTGAATTAGATGCCGAACTTCTCATTTGTCATTTGGCTTGCCTTGAATTATTTTAGGAGAGAATAAAAGCTTAAAAAATAGAATCGATTATTGAGTCCTTCTAAAATGCTCACCATGATTATGTTTAAATCTGTAGTGAAGGATGATGAAATAAAGCTCTGTCCTTTATAAGTCAATAAATTTAAACCTGATCTTGATGCAGGTTCTTACTAATTTCTGTTTTTAAAATCCAAAAGAAGTTAGGAAGTGTTGGAGGCTAGTATTTTGTGGAAGAAATGGCAGTTCCACAAAACATTCCACCTAAGAGAGGCTCTTTGAACAATTAATTTTGTAACCAGTTGTAACAGCAACCAGTTGGTGTTTTACTGCTGAAATGTATACTTGCCCTTCTACAAAGCAGTATTTTGTTTGCATTTCAGTGCTATGAGTCTTGATAAATTTGAGAAGAGCCCAAGGGAAATTTTTCATCCTGAGATACAAAAGGTAGGACTTTTTTTGTTCGCTTGTTTTTCTTTATTATTTTGTGGAAATATAAGTAATGGGGTATAAATGCTACTAATTGCTTTCTTTCAGTACCAGGATAAAAATGAGTAGGATTATGTGAACTACTTAAACTGTCTTTATCAGTTGAACTGGCCACTTCAAATCAAAACTTAAATATATAAGGTTGTTAGTTTTATTTGTGTTATCTTTAATATCAGTGTGCTAAAGATACTGTTTTTCTTTACAGGATTTATTGGTTCTTGAAGAGCAAGAGGTAAATGTAAACCTACCTCTCCTAGCTCACAGACCTGTTCAATGAATACAATTTTTTAATTTGAAATATTTGCACTGATATACTTGTAACAACTTACTAATCAATTGCTTATTACAGTAAAAAATGTAGGTTTTTTAACATATGAGATAAAAAATAATTTTAAGCACCAATTTAATATAGCAACCACTCAGATTATTAATTTTATGCTATACCATAAAACTTTGAAGGTAAATTATTATGTATTAGGAGTTGGTGTAAACTGTATATTCCTATGTGTAGGATGTATACCAAGGTATATATCTAAAAGTCCTTAGAGAAAACATTTTTTAGGTCTTCTATTTGATTGTCTTTTTATCATATAATATTTGGGTTTATTTCTCAGGGATCTGTGAATTTTAAATTTGGAGTCCTTTATGCTAAGGATGGTCAGCTAACAGATGATGAAATGTTCAGTAATGGTGAGTTTTTCACCTTTTTCTTAATTGTTTTATTCACGTGAATAAAAAAATGGAAAATAGTGCCTACACGTGGAAGACAGAAGGGAGGTGATTGTTATACAAACCATAGTTTTGTTGGTTTTCATGTTCATGTTGGGTTATAAATTGTAGCATAGAACCTTCTGTTTCTATAAAAAGTTGCTGTAGGAATCGTACTATTACGACTTGGAAGATAGTGAAATTTCTTTCCTAAACTATGCAACATAACATTTAGAAAAAAGAAGCAGTTGAAGGAGGCAACTTGTTTACTCACTGTTGTTTGTAGTTCTTTCACTCTTAACGTTTTTGCAGCATGATCACTTTCTCTTGTTCACTTGAACAGCGTAGTCTTGGTGTTAGCACTTGATGTCACTTTTTAATGTCACATGATGATGCCTATTCTGCAAGGCTGGGTTGCTGTTTCTGGAAAGGTAGAAGGTTTGGATGACATGAAGAGAAACGAATTCAGCTGAAACTTGGGTCCTTGTGTTCCGGAAGCGGTACCTATTTCTGTATTTTGATTATTTTTTATACATGTCCTGTAACTATGTGTTTGTTTGTTTGTTTGTTTTTTACATTTCTCTCTCCCACATGTAGAAACTGGAAGTGAAAGCTTTCAAAGATTTTTGCATCTCTTGGGTGACACAGTTACTTTGAAAGGCTGGACAGGCTACAGAGGAGGACTGGACACTAAAAGTAAGAGCTTATCTGAAGCAATAAAGAGGGGGCACTATTGCATGTGCATATTATATGTATTGTAGTTATAATACAATCCCAAAATGGATTTCCTCGTGTGCATGCTAAGTGCTCTACTTCACCAGAAAAAAGTCTGGTCAGCTTAAGTCACTGATATGTAATGCAGTTAAAGAAAAGTATTTATGTGACCTGTATTTTCAAGATGAACAGTTTTGTTTTAAATTCGAACGAAGACTAACCTGACACATTACTTGCTTTGTGGTGGTAGTACCTCAAGGCTTGAAGAACTGTGTAATTTCAAGAGGGTAGGTGAAGGACATCATAGGTTTTAAGTATGAATAGGCAGATTAATTCCAAACTTGGGTTTGGACTCACATAAAACATGCAGTGTGGATATTTTCTAAAATGGATCAGAAAAAAAGAATAACTGAAGAATATTTGGTAGAAGGACTTGGAATATCTTTTTTTCTTTAGAAAACTTAGAGGGCATATTCCTGCTGAGAATGTTGTCTTCCCTTGCAGATGATACAACAGGAACCTGTTCCATCTATACAATTTTTCAAGGGCACGAAATTATGTTCCATGTTTCAACTATGCTACCATATTCTAGAGAGAACAAGCAGCAGGTACATGGTTCTCTTTATTTCTCCCCGCCCCTCATTTATTTACTAAATCACAAACTCCAAAACTTTAGAAGAAACAAGGGATTTCTTGCCTGTTAATATTTTATAAATGTAGGTTTTAAGACTTTTGCTGGTTTTTTCTCAATATTATACCAAATGCTGAAAATTTCATGATGTTTGTTAGAAATAGTGCATCCTGTCATCTTTATTAAGGTACAAAAGATACTTGTGAAGAAGGTCAAAATTGCTTCACTGAGAAGTAATTGAGTATTGTCCCGTCCAGGTGACTTGAAGGGCTGCACTGCTTCAATTATTACCTCAAAGAATTTAGGAAAATTGAAAATTAGCCTTGTGTGTGAATTGTAGGAATATTCACATGTGTAATACAAAACTCAAAGTCGGGAAGCAGTTAGTGCAGCTTGAAATTCCCATTATGAGCACATCAAGGCGCTAAAGCACTGCTGTCACATTCTCATAGGTTCACTAGGTTGGTTCTTGGGTACTTGATCAAATGTGCTGTCATCCATTGCTCAAACCTGTCTTTGTATTATATGACGAAAAAATACTTTATAAGCGCATGCATTTATTATACGTCATGCATTCATAATGATTTGCCTAAAATTACTTGATTTACTTTTTATTATGTATTATAATAATATAGTTAGATTATACCATTATGTTGTCCCTTTTTTATTTCTGTCAGTTTTCCCATGCTTTGTCCTTGGCCCGATAACAAGATAACAGAAGAAAACAGAGGCCATTCAGGATATTTATTTTTAAAGAATAACTCAGCATCAAAGTTTTTTTTCCTTTTATTTCAAGTGGTAGATTTGCTTTTTTGGAATGCTAAGACCTCCATGCCCAATTTGTGAATAATAATTATGTAAATTATATAAAAGATGAGTGCTTTTCTAACTTAAAAATAGGCAATATCTGTTCTTCTAGAACCTTCTTGTGTCCACTGTGGCATTGCTAGGTAGACTTGCTTACAGTTAGGTAATAATTTTATATTGGCCTTAATACTATTGACCATCATTTTTCTGTTTACAGTTTAGGAATATTGTTTTACCATTCTCTCACAGAATTATTAAGATATTTATTTATGTATTTTAAGTCCTTGTGTCTGTCTCTCTTTCTTTCTTTTTCCTTTTTTTTGTTGTTTTTTTTTTTTCCAGGTAGAAAGGAAGCGACATATTGGAAATGACATTGTCACTATAGTATTTCAGGAAGGTGACGAGTCTTCTCCAGCATTCAAGCCATCCATGATTCGCTCTCATTTTACACGTATCTTTTTCCTTACATTTTCTAATTTTTTTTTAAAGATCAATATTACTTCTAATTCCTGCATGCTGTTTATGGAAGTGAAAACTGTTTTAGAAAGACAGTTGCATTCTTGCATTCTTTACCTTCAGCTGCTTGACTAGGAGTCTCCAAATCTGCAACATAAAACAAAGTTTGTGTTGAATCCCCTAGAAGATAAGGTAAAAGCAAGAATGTGATTTTTAAATCACGTTTTTATTATCGAAAGCATTTATTTGGATAATTTCACAAATTAAATTTTATACCTTTTCATAAAATATAAATTCATAAATATATTTGTTAGTTGTGTGAATTAATTTGGCATTAAATTTTGACGTTTGACTGAATATTGCCTTTTAATGTTTAGATGCTGTTTATTTTACATATTTATGTATTTTAGATCAGTGTTTCTCAAATCTTTCAGACCATTAACCATATATTCTCCAGATTTTGTCAGCCTATGTTTTTCAGACTTTCAGTTGAAAACATTGTGAAGACAATATGATTCCAAAACCAGTGGCCAATCACTTAGGATTATCATGGGGTCACACTAGTAATCTGTAGACTAGTAATCTGTAGAATATGGCATTAGACTAAATGGAGTGGAATGAATAAAAATGGATGAAAAGAAGAAAACTCTTATAATAAGAACCTTTAGATATCAGAGGAAACTAAATGTTAAGAACAATTGTTTACCAAGTCAATGTACCTCTTCGTTAGTGTCAGCCTTAGTATAAAAGGAATAATTATTCCCTTATTGCTGTTTGGAGGACTTGTCACAATGTCATCGATACAGCCTACTTTTGATTTTGGCAAATATTTTGAGGTCCATACATTTTTGTGTACTTGCACTTCAAATCATTCTCTCCATTTTCTTATAATTTTGTTAACTAAATTATTTCATTGGAATCTTTTTTTCAGTAGAAGTTTTGGTATAAATGAAGTTTGGAATCAGTACTTTTTTATCAACTAAAAGAATTTTTAGTCACAAATCTATCAAACACACATAAGCCACAGCATGTTTTATGCTGTATTTGTGGTACTAGCTTGATTTTTAAAACTTGATCAAACCATAAAATTCTGTATGGGACCTCCTTTATAAATAGCAAAATCTGTATAGTTTAGAATGTTTTATATATTTACATTGATTAATGTGTTTTACCTTTATTAAATCTGCTATGTAACTGCAGGAGAAGAAAAAGTGTATTAAAGTACATGTGATCTTTATTAGAAGTGGATTAACTTCCTTAACTGCATGGCAGATATTTTTGCTTTAGTGAGATACAATAAGCAGAATGATAGTTACAGGTAGGTGCTGATTGTAACAAATAACTTCACACTGAATTTCTGATGGTTTAGAGAAAACGGGATAACGTTTTGGCAATGGGGAGACTTCCTGGTGTACAGAAGGTCCACCCATCTGTATGCTGGGAGGCCAAATGAACTTAAGAAGCTGAAGAGCAACATGGACCTCGATGCAGATGTCTCTAAACTGGCTATAAGTTGCGTGTTTCTAACCATCGGGAAAATTAAATTCTGTAACAGGCATAAGCTAAGGGGGAAAAACAAAACTATTCTTTAGATGAAATGTAACAAAATTATGAAAGACATACCTTGAATGTTCTGACCTAATGAGCTCAATGACGTAGTGAACTACATGTATGATAGTTACTTAGATGTATGGAAGTTAATTAGATGTGTATGATGATGTGATAGCCATGGACTGCAGATCCTTACAAATCTCAGTTCAGCAGTAGCTGAGCAAACTAATTCATTTTTAGGGATCTTAACAGAGTATTTGTATAATTGGACATCACATGCTTTAAACCTACTAGAATTTTGCATATTACTATGTTTCTTCATTCCATTAAATCTAGCTCCAGAGAAGTATCCAATAGCATGATACTTCAGTTTGCATATGTGTTTTTTTTCCCCCCCTCCCATTTATAGCTGGAGTTTGTTTTGGAAATATCTATAGCACAGTTAAGGAATAGTTTTATTTTGTTTGAAGATCTTGTCAGCACCTTCTTGCAATTTTTTTTTTTAAATTGATTGTCCTCATAGCTTCTGCTTTTCAGCATTCCTGGGTTTGTGAGAGGTACAAAACATGTTCATGATTCCCGTGTGCAGTGACAGTGCAGATATTCTTTCCTTTTTCTTCTTGTTTTGGGACAGAAACTTGGGCTTACATCCCTCATTACCTTTTAGAAGTGAATGTTGTCCTGATTGTAAGCTGATAGTCAGTAGATGGGCTAACCATGGTAAAATGCTTTTTACCTTGCTGTTTATTTAGGAGGCAAATGAGTAGCAGTGATTAAGATAAATTTGCCTCTCTCACTCTAAATAACTGGCTGCTTTTACTAGATCAGTCCATCTTATTTTAGTTGCTTCGTTCTGCCAGTCTTGACACATCTTACTGCAGTACATGTCATGCAGTACTTTTTCCCTGTATGACAGGTGTGATACATATATTTCAGCTTGGCCTAATTACATTTCCTTCTGTCCTTTCATCTTAGGCCTGAATAGAACTCTTGTTCCTTCTGTTATTTTTTTTGTGTGTGAGGATGGTCTTCCAAGTGGCCAAAATGTCAGTCAAAGGAGAGAGGAGATGCTCTAGTGTTTTGAGACAAATCTTCCGTGTTTCAAATGCAATGCCACTGTGAAATCTGACACTGACTTTCTACTTAGAATGCAGAATATTTTACTTCAGTCAAGAAATCTATTTCTTTGGCTGGTTTTGCTGTGGCTTTCCCTGTCTTAATTCATTCTACTCTACTCAAGGAACATTTCACACCTTTTGTAGTGATAAATGATTATTTTTTTTACCTGGATCTAATAAAATAGACATAGGGCATCTATGAAATTGTGTCTCAAATATGTGAAACCAACATTAGAATGATTAGTATTCATTGTGTTTCAGATTGTATGCACAGTTTCCAAGCTGTCATGAAAAAAGACTGTATGAAACCATTACAATCCATTAGACTCAATAGCAGTCACTCACTGGTGGTTTTTTGAGGAAGCAAATTCTGGCTCTGGTTTGTGTAACAGTAGAGATGGGTTGAATCAATAATTTTACCAATTAAACTGCCGTGGCTTGTGTCATCTGCACATGCCACTTGGAAGACCTTTGTCTGCAGACTGTCAATTGAAATAGCAAAGAATGGTAACTTATCTTATAGAAGCTATGCCTGCTGAACATATTGTGTACATGGGTTTGGTACCTGCCATTCATTCTTGCTATGTGGGATTCTTTATGGATCACAAGAACTCAGCAGGTCCAGCTGTCACAGAAGTCATTCTGACTCTTTCTTCTTCAGTGAAAATGAATTTGCTATTCCCAAGATACAGATTCAGATGTCATAAGCCATTGTTATTCAGAAAGAATTGAACGTTTCATGCTGTGGTGAATGCATAGGTAAGGTGGAAGTCTGTAAGGAGAGCATGTCTTGTAGGCAAAGAACCTTTTTTGGAAAACGACTAGATTTTACTAGTGCCACTAAAAGTATTGTTCTTTGAGTAGAACTGCAAAGTTCTGTTCTAATTCTTCGTGTCCCAGTATTAGTTTGTGTAAAGGAAGCATAATTTTGCTCTACTGAGTTATTTCAAGTGAATCTTTTTTGTTAGATCTTTCAAAGTTCTTATATAACACATACCCAGATGACAGGTTCCATTTCTTCTGTTTTGAATACTGTCTATAAAAAGGGTAGAGTTTGAATGTGACTCAATATACATAAAGATTTGTACTTCCAATAGGCTGAAAATATTTTCAGAAGAAAGTGTTCCTCTCTTTGGGCCTCCCCTTCCATCCCCACCTGTGTTTACAAATCACCAGGAATTCAGGGATTTTGTGTTGGTGAAATGTAAGTCGGTTTTTACTTTGTTAGAAATACTTCTTTAATAAGTGCTTTAACAAATTGAAACTCACGATGCTTAAAATGTAAACATATTTTGTTGTGTATGTTGCTGATCTGTATACAATTTCTTTTTCCAAATCAGTAACATAGGTGGGATGTCAGTTCCATCAAACTGTTCTAGTAAGAGTAACAAAAAACCTGATTTTCTCTGCTTCTTAGGCCACGAGGTACAAGCTGACTTTTACATTTGCAGAATGTGCAGCCATATTTAGCTTTACATTTTCTTAAAGGATTTGGAGATCTGAAAGAATTTATAATGCTGTTCATAATTTAGTAATAGAAAGTGTTAGTATCTCTGAAAACCTGAAAATAGAAGCTTTTCTGAATATATTCTTAAAGGTGTTGAAGTGCACCTATGCAGCACTTTTTAATTCTGTAATGGTTCAGTTCCAGTTTTCATTGATCCTTATTTGCCCTTCTAAATCAGCGAGAAGGAAATCTTTGAGAACTACTCATGATGATTACAATTAGATGCTTACCTGACAGGAACTTGACTGATAACTCATTTCATGTATTTAAATTGTTTAATACTTAAATTGATTAGCAGTTTGCCTGTAATTTTTTTATTACTTAGGTGTTTATTGGGATGCCTTGTGAAATTCTCCTATTACTAATTTTTCTTTTAAGCTTAAGGGATTGTTATTCACTAAAACCAAAAAAAAATGCAAAAAGGAGGCAACTCTAAATTAATAAGGGCAAAACAGGTGGTTTGGTACAGAAGCAAACTAGAGTCAGTGGAAGTTGTCAAAGTTCATTTAGGTAATATGTCTTTTTTTTTCATGATTTTTTAGTAATAAATGGGGAAAAAGCCACCTTGGAAACACCAACATTTTCTCAGAAACGTCAACGCACTCTAGACATGCTGATCCGCTCTTTATACCAAGACATGATGCCTGATCTACACAGGGTAAATGTAAGTCAGAAGTTTCTGCATCCCCTCACATGTGCCCTCCTCACTGTTTTGATATTTTAAAAGACTGTCATGTCATCCTAATGAGCACTGAATTGCGTACGACTAAATGTGAACTATCATATAACTTATTTTACAGTTACATGCAAGTTGACAGACCGTCCTTTCTGGATAGGACTATTTACCAGGTGTGAGGAGAAGCATAACAGTGTCATACTTGTGTAAGCTTACCCATGGCAAGGGAGTAGGAAATTTAGGCACTGAAAATATTATATGTGTTAGTCTTGTCACCATAAAAAGTGCATTTACTCATTCTGTTATGTGTCGATTTGGATCATTTTTACTGTTAGATGAGATAACTATTTTAGAGGATGAAGACTTCTTAATAAGGTAATTCCTAACTAACTAAAAAGAAGCTCAATACTTCTGAAACTAACAAGGTGCTATTTCTTCCCCACTGTCTATTTCTCTTATCTAAATAGATCTGCCTAAACGTTTTTTTCCATATATTTATGTCATATATTCATGTGGTATGATTTACCATATGACAGTAGTAAACCATGACCAGTTGGAAGGTAAAGCACTCAAGGATTGGAAGAGTTGAAATTTCTCCTCTCTGAGAAGCTATACAATTAGATTCATCACTACAGGAAAGTATACAAAACCAGAAAATTTAAATGATGTCACATTAAGTTACTTCAGATGAAAAGATTTTGAAAACTTTTGAAGTTAAAAAAGAAACATTTTCTGTTTTAGAACATGCTCAATAGAAGGTCCTTCAGTGATGTGTTACCAGAGTCCCCAAAATCAACACGGAAGAAAGAGGAAGCTCGACAAGCAGAGTTTGTTCGGCTCGGTCAGGTAGGGTCAGTTTAGAAGGTATGCAGGTAGGGTTACAAAGGCTGTGTTACCCCTTTTGTTAGAATTTGATTAGCTTGCAGTTATGTCAGGACTTCATGGAGTTTTCTGTGATCAGAAATAGTTTTGTAGTATTGCATTATTTTAAGCTATGTTAAAATAAAATATGAATAGAAGTATTTATCTGTAGCACCTAAGGTACACAACACAAGTACAAATGCTTATATAGTACCTAAGCTAAATGAAGGTTGGAAAAATCGGACCTTAGAATCAAACTTAGAAGATCTTTCTCTGCTTTATGCAGCAGATGTGTTCTGCCTCCAAGCAGAAGAGTGCTCTGTCTTTTTCTGTGCTTTGGAAAAACATAAACTTTCATGGATTTCTTCCATATGTTTTATTAAGATTGAATTTCTTAGAAAATACTTAGCCTACTTTAGTCAGAAAGAAGTTTCAACAATCTTTCTGCTAAATCAGAGGTTGCTGCACATCTTTGAACATAACAGATGCTAACTCCAATCTTCTATGGGCTTATTAATATCTTGATTCAGTGAGGAGTAAAGCTTCCTGATGATTAAGATAGTCTGCTTTGATCTGACAGTTCATTGTAGCAAAGAAGTCAAGAGTGTCTATGCTTCCCCTGTCCTTTCTTACTTGTTTCTTCTTGATTCTGGACTGGTGTCATGGTTCTGCAGCTTATCTTAAGAATATCTCTTTCTGAGCTGATTTAACTCAGCAGGAGTTAACAGACCAGGAAACCAAAACAAAAAAAAAAAAGAAACAAAACAAAAATTCACACTTACCAGCAAAACCCAAGTCTCCTGTCTTCCCTTCTATTTTTTTTTTTCTGTAGTAATCTAAGGAATAGATGATTCTGAGAAGTTCTAGGTCTGGTTAAAGGAAGCGAATGGTACTGGGTGGTTGAGAGCTGGTTCAGAAAAATCTCAGGGCTATTAAAGCTTGCATTGACAAGAACTGCAAAGTCTGCTCCTTTGTGCTTTGCCTACCCTATCCCCCATCACCTTGAAATAACCAGTCACTTTAGGCGGGTTAAAAAAAAAGAAAAGCTGAATGTGATTGTAATATTGAGACAGGAGTAACCAATGATTTTATTCCCCAAGTTTACTTTACATAAGTTAAGGGAAAAAAAAGGTTATTAAAAGTATAGAAACCTATAACCTTGAGCCCCTTCCACCTCCCACAAGTTAAACACTGATAAGATACTCATGTAACAAATCTAGTTGGGACTCATTTCTTAAGCAAGACTTCCGTCCTTAATATGATCTTCATTGAAGGAAAATCTAACATGTGGGCCAAAACTTCATGGATACCTGTTTGCGTTTTTCTTGGAGCTTCTTTTCACATTAAAATCTTTCCCTTGTCTGAAATATCTTTCCTCTAAGTTACAAACTATAGGCTTGAACACATTTCAAGACACCTTCCAAGTAGCTGTTAATCATTCTTGCCAAACTATGAATGTCTTTCTCCTTTTGTTGCAGTCAGTTGAGTTTTTAGACGGTAAACAAAACTCACTGAAGACTGATTCAGCAGCATATTTAAATCATTTAGTTATTGTCAAGGTGATCTCTTTTGACTGGTGAGATGGAATTAAAATGTTCATACAGTGAAGTCTTTCGCAGCTGATTACTGCCGCTTCACAGAGACTATGCATGATTGTAGGCAAATTTTGGGGCAATAAAATTAGTTTTATGTTAGTTCTGAGCTTTGCGTTAAGGAATGCCGTGACAATTCCATGTGTCACCATTTTATAGGAATACGACTGTAAAAGTTAGCAATGAAGGTATATAGGATACCTTAAAGAGATTTATTGTGCAGCTCACTGAAACTAAGTATGTATATTTCTCTGGAGATCTTGACCCTTTCAAAAGTAGGTCTCTTCTAGTTGAAGAATTTATGATCCTCTGACTGTGGGTCCTTGGGATACCTAGCAATACATAGATAGATAGATAGTTTGACTTAGTGTTTGTTTGGAAGTTTTGCAAGTAAAAAGCCAGTTTGTGTGATTGATAAAAGAATCCTCTATCCAGCTAGATTATACAGTAAATTGTGCAGATGTTTACCTTGTATTGTTTGAGGTGGAGGTTTTTCTCTGTTATTATGTTTGACTCTTCTTTTCTGATTTTGAGTTTCCATTTAGAAAGCAAACAAGCAAAAAAACCTAAACAAAAAACAGCCAATATATGTTTTGGCTGAGAAGATACGTAGTAACCATCTAGTAATTCATGCAGACTTTGTTGAGAGTACAAAGTTCTACTTCTTTTCTAATTACTTAAAGTGGTATAGGGATTCCAAACTGGAATTACTTTCTTGCCCTAAATTGTCCTTTTTATATAGTCATTAGCTTGAGTATTGCTGACAAAAACCCAGTTTAAATAAAACATCTGTTTGTATTAGGCACTGAAATTGAAAACCACTGTGAAAGGGGATACCACAGCTCACTTGGCAACCACAAGCTTTTGTAAAAAGGAGGTGAGTGAAACTGTCTGTCTGAGAAAACTTCTGAAAAATTAAACATTATCTAGTATGGCATCTCTTTATTTACTTCTGTAATTACATGCTGCAGCAGAAAAAATGAAATGTGTAATATCAAAGTGATTCTGCAGTCACTATCAGATTAATAAAGGATGAGCCTGGGGGCAGAAGCACTTCTCAAGTTAAAGCAAGTGTGGACATTTTTATATCTGAGAAAATTTGATGAAAGTGCCATTTTCCAAATGCAATCATCTTTTATTTTAACTTCAACAAGTTCATAAAAAAATTTAGTTGTGATTTCATTCTATGTAGTACCAGATTTTGTTTGAGATCACTAGGGAGTGAAATACGCAAACTGCACACTTCTGCATGCATTTTATATACAGAAGCTTCAGAACGGCATCTAAAATTTCAGATTCTAGCTAGTATATAAACTGGGAGAGGAGGGGCAGACTCTGGGAGGTAAGTACAGAGAAGAACACAGGATGAAAGAACGATTCAGTAGAAAGGCAGTTTTAACTATACCATGTGCTAGTGACTAAACATCACAAACTGAACCATAAAATGTAAGCAAATTGTGTATGCGTGGTGGTACATATGTTTTAAGTCTGTCAATCCGGTTTTTTTAAAGTAAAATGCATATGGAGTATTTCCAGGGTTGCACTGAGTATCAGCTGCATGCGTTTTAATTCCAGTGTTTCAGGAATGTGTCTTACATTTACTAGTCTCCAAGCCAGAATTAATACAGAATTTTCTCTGCAAGAAAATTAACGCAATTTTGATATTTCAAAAAATATACTGTTTGGAAATGTATCCTGCCAAAAGCATTTACATATTATTATTTGCCATTGTCCATCACATTCTCTGTCTGTATGATCTGTATTTCTTAGTGTACTTAATTTGTATCCCTTATGTTGCTTCATAGCCTTGGGAATCTCAATCTTTCTGCAGTAATTTTCCTCATGAGGTTGTCTGTGCAGATTCTTGGGGCCAGTCCTTGCTGGTTTCTACAGATGCTGGCATCTTGTTAATAGATGGTTAGTAAATGATCCAGTGTTTTTGTGTCAATTTTTATGTATCTGACCATTTTCTTGAAAATGTATGTTCATAAGGTCTGTTCAGTTATTGATAGGTCTTTACATATAGGGATAGTTACTAATTCAAGGGAATTTATTGCATTTATGTAACCTAGCTTTAAAAATTCTCTCTGCTCTGGAATCAAGCCATATTGGGGAATGAATGTTAATGCAGATTTCTGCTTATTTCAGATGTTGCTTTCTTGATCATCTGAAAAGACTTAGGAGGTTGCATCCAGGCTCGAGGAGTGTTTAAATGGCTTGTCTGATTTCTTAGCCCTTGATGATAGTGAGCATGAAGCTGAGGGCTTACGTGACAGTGAAAGCCTGCTTCTTCCATTAGCATTTATATTGCTCTTTGACCACTTATCTTCTGTGTGCCACATAAGGCCAGCAGGACTGAGGGAATGAAGTTAGTTCTTGGTCATAGTTCTTGAACTTTCCAAAGGAAAGTCCCTTTTAGGTTTCAGTTGCATAATCTGATCCATGGCAATCATAAAACTCTCCTGTGAAGTATTATTGACTATGATGCTGTGGTATATGTAGCAGCTTTGTGGAGGGTTTTTTTTTTTCCCCTCTCTTCATTTTTGTAAGAAAAAAATCAAGTCTTTTATTACAAGAAAGAAAGGGTTCAAAACCAGTGACTAGCAAAGTTTAGCAGGATTTTGAATACATGTGTGTGTTTCTTTTTTAGATGGTCAACCGTCAGTGCAAGTATTTGATAAAACTCTCCAGATAAAGCAGATGCATGTTTTGGAAGCTCTGGATCTTTTGATTGCCCGAACAGACAAAGGTAGGAGAGGTCCCTGTTTTCTGATTCCTGTATGAATCTGACTGTGGCTGGGTATGTGTGTCTCATGAGGCAATTGTGTCTCTCAGCATAGGTATATTAGATGCCTTATTTAGAATGAAGGAGCACATACAGAAACTGCTGTTACTTTCTGAAAGGCTGGGGAGGAGTTGGAGGTGGAAATACCCAAACGCTCATTCGTGCTTCCTTCAAGGCAAGCCTGAAACTGGTCGTATTGTCAGTTTATGGCCACCATTAGACCTTGACATTTTTTGCAAATATCTGTGACTCAATTATATATTCATTCAGTTGCACAAAAACATGGGGGTAATTACTTATGCTGTCACTATTTTACAAAATGTGTTTCGTTGGTATTTATGCTGTTAAATGTCACCACATCCTAGAGCTATAGAATGTATTTTCTTGAATCTTCTGGTATAAAACAACTTAAAGCATTATGCTTTGCTTGTATTTGCTCTGTTTGTTAGATGCTGCTTCTCTTTGGAAGTATTAATTTCAAACTACCATTTTCTTTTTTTAACTTCTTGTTTCCTGGTTCTCTTCCTGTGTCAGGGAAGGACTCTCGTCTCCTTGTCTTCAGACTCAGTGCTGTCCAAAAAGATATAGAGACAAAGCAAATTATAAGAAGCAAATACGACTGCAGAGAAAATAAACTAGAGAGAACAAAAGGTGATTTTATTTCCACTGTGATATGATGCCAGTAGTTGCCAGGGGCTTTTTAGCTCCCTTGAGGCAGTTGTAGGTGTTCACTTTAGTGTTTTCTCTTGGCAGTTAATGCAAACTTTGTTAAACTTGTATTTGAAAACTAGCATGGTGTAATCCAGCACGACGTATTAGAACGTTGTAAAAATATCATGTTACTTGACAATTGCTGCTGATGAAAAGTGTTAAAGAAAAATAGGATTTCAGGATTGGGAGGTATGAGAAGAATTTTGCAGGGATTCAAACTGAAATAAAGCACACTTTAAGTTCAAGGAACACTGGCAAATCTCCATTAAATAGTAGTTCTTAGATTAGTCTGGGTGTTGCTGATTATTTTAGTAGACATAAACATTTTCTGGTCTTCAGAAGCAAGCTGCTTTGGAAAGCTGGAACCTGCAGAATAGTGAAAATCCATGTATTTAGGAATAAGGGTAAAATAGATTTCAAAGGAGTCATAGGCTTTTGTCTTTTTCTAGAAGTTGATGTTATCCTATTGAGGGGGGTTTCATTCTGTGTTGCTAAGACATGCATCAGAATCCTGTTGTACTAATCATCATACAAATACAGAAAAAAAAATCAGACCCTACCCCAACCACCTACAGTCTAGAACATTATTTCCTCAGGCTGCCATTTGTATGCCATAAATACTCACCATGGAAGTGAACTGAGGATTGTTGTGGCTATTCGAAACAAACTACTTCTTGTCACAAAGAAATATAATCCACACCACAGTTTAACCAGCAGCTCTGTGCTCTCATCACCTGAATCTCCAGTAGAGGAGTTCCAGTACATCCGGGTATGTGTAATCTAATTACAAATTACCTTAACAGACTGGGCAGCAATCAGCTAGTGCGGGGAGTGTGGGAAAGGCAAAGAACATGCATTATCATCACCCCAAACCTCCAGACAAATAAAAGTGAGATGTCATATGATGGAGTTCGATCATATATATGCCAAAGAAATCTTTCAGATTTTTTAGAAATTAAGTTTCAGCTTGTTCTTTGTCATGTTGCTGTGCTCAGAGCACATCCCTTTAAAATCATGGAGTACCTGCAGCACCCAAAGTAGGAGCTTGAAAAAGAGAATAATTCCTTTATTTATGTTATAGGAAATATGCCTTTCTGACCCTCCAGTGGTTATGACGCTGGTGGACGGACCTACCGGAGAGAGTGACAATATGATCTGTGTAGCCTATCGGCACCAGTTTGACTTAGTCAATGAGAGCACGGGAGAGTCCTACAGACTGCATCATGTTGAAACAAATAAAGTAAGTTTGCATCATTGAAACCTATGTTTTTGCAGAGCCCCACTGAACATAACTTCTTGCAGACTCAGTGCATCCTATGCTGACCTCCTGGGAGTGTAATTTATGGAGATCCTCGTGTCTGTTACTTTTCACTTCTATAATGCTGCTTTATGGCACCCAGAGATATTTGTTCCTTTTGGGATATGTGATAATAACAACTTCCAAGAGAGGTAGTTATAAGATACGATATGTGTGGTGGGTTGACCTCGGCTGGACACCAGGTGCCCACCCAGCCACAGGAAAGAGACTGTGTTTCAGGCTCTGGAATATTGTTACCATCGTAAATTCATTTTTCTCCTTTCTTAGTCAACAGTTTGCTTTTCGCTTCATCTTTGTGGTATCAAAGTTTTGTTGTTTATGAAATTGCATCATAATAACTTCAGTTGTTGGCCACCAGTATCTCATTCAGATTTGCCTATTTGCATGTACTATGGCTAAGATTTTTACACATAGCTTATATTTCTATTTAAGAAACTGCTACCCAGTCAAGTAATAACTGAATCTTTCTATCCTGGACATTAAAATTAATAACAAAAGAGTCTGCATTTAGAACATGCTTATCTATTTATTTACTTACTTATTTCTTTTTTTTTCTTTTATCCTCCAACTGATTGTCTTGCTTGTTAGTCAAAACCCTGCTGGAATAATCACAATATCTTCTGCCTGCTCTTAACCTTTTCCATTATCATTGCAGGTTAATTTTGTTGCGGCTATTGATGTATATGAAGATGGTGAAGCTGGTCTACTGTTGTGTTATAACTGTAAGTGTTAACAGAAGGACGAAAATGGTAATAGCGCAATCTGTGTATATAATTCTTTTTTCATTGGAATCCAGGTCTGTATTTTAAAATAAATTTTAGTATTTCCTGGAAAGTTTGTAAAATATAGTCTTTTGAACTTAAATGCATATTGGAGAGACTGGAAATTCAAGTATTATTTTAGACATACTAGCTGTTTTATAGATGTGCATCTCTATATTTATAGATGTTGCCATGTTAAAAAAAGTCCTGTTTTTTTCAGATTTGGCTCATTCTTTAGGTAGTTACACAGTTATTAGGTGTTTTCAAGACATATACAATTTAGCATTTCATCCTTTTTTCCTTGTGTGATGTCCCATTCTGTCTTTGTGTTTTTTTTTCTTCTGCCTACTTCTTGGCACTATTGCATTATTTCATTGTAATTCTCTCAATCTCCTTTTATAAAATGGTCTCGGATATAGAATCATAGAATGTTAAGGGGGCGGAATGGACCTTAAAGATCATCTAGTCGCAACCCCCCTTGCCATGTGCACGGACACCTCCCACTAGAAAAGGTTGCTCAAGGCCTTATCCAACCTGGTTTTGAACACTGCCAGGGTTGGGGCGTCCACAACCTCCCATGTTCTAGAATCTAACTATTCTCAAAATAAAACATTTCCTGATATCTAACATAAATTTCCCCACTTTTACTTTGTACCCGTTACTCCTTGTCCTGTCACTACACTTCCTGATGAAGTCCCTCTCCGGTTCCTTGGAGGCCCCTTCAGATACTGCAAGGTTGCTATGAGGTCTCCACACAACCTTCTCGTCTCCAGACTGAATGGCCCCAACTCTCTCAGCCTGTCCCCACAGAGGAGGTGCTCCAGTCCTCTTACCAACTTCGTGGCCTCCTCTGGTTATTGATGCTGCTTTTTTCTATTTTGTTACAGATGTTTGCCAATACAGAAAGGTATATCCTTTCAGTGGAGGTTCTCTGCTGATCCAGCCATCAGCTTATGACTTCCACTTCAGCTGGAATCAAGTTCCTTATGCTGTTGGTAAGAAAATATCTCTTTTTACTAGATGGTTGTTTTTCATTACAATTTTAGCTTGCACTTGGTTCTTAGTGGAATTACCATGTTCTAGGAACACTTCATTACTTTGTTACATTCATGATGCCACTTGAGCTTAGTTTCTGCATATGATTAAATTTAGAAAGTGTAGTCTTGGTGCCAAGTTCTTCCTTTGCTGAACTCTTTCTTCTGTTTTTCATTTTACATTCTCTCTACATTCTGCCAGGCATGGAGAGTGAAGTTTTCTTCAGGCTTGATGTAGCTCCATGTCCATCCAGTTAGACAAACTTTTCATAGGAAAGGGAGATGCCAGAAGAGATCAAGAACAGTTTTCATGGAGCATCCAAAAAACTTTCACATTAAAGAATTTCACCATTTTTCCTTGCCAAATAACTTTTCTTTCATTGCAGTCTGTGCTTTCCCTTATATCCTTGCTTTCACTACTGATTCCATTGAGATCCGACTAGTGGTGAATGGGAACTTAGTCCACACAGCAGTTGTGCCTGAGCTTCAACTTGTAGCATCAAGGGTAAGACACAGTAAAATCATGTTTGACTATTTCTGTGATATAATTGGGATCTAATTCATATAAAAGTTGCTGCAGCTAAAAACCTAACAAGCCAAAACTGAAATATGTGCTATTTGATCTGTGTTGACTGTTCATGTTTGCTTTTAGTTTATATCAAGTACAAAGAGAATCAGGATTGATCATGCTGCCCTTTATTGGTTGCGGTAATACAGTTCTAAGATACTTGGCTGTTTGTGGGGCAAATGCTCTGCTCAACATTACAGATGTTCCCTTCACTTACAGTGATAACCTTTCTATGACCAACCCTTGTTGACCAAGCAGCAATACAGTAATAGTGACAGTAGAACATAGTGGACAAACTCTTACTTTGGAAGATGGTTAAGAAAGTCTCACTGTACTAATGATGAGTTATTTGTCATTTCAGTCAGACATTTATTTTAAAGCAACTGCTGCAGTAAGTGGATCATCAGACAGCAGCTCTAAGGAAATGAGTTCAAAGAGTTCTCCTCAAACACCGACAGCTTACGAAAAGCCAGAATGTCCTCTTTCTTCTCTAGAAGGTAATGTGGCAGCTTGAATAATGGTCTCTAATAATTCCAATAGCTATCACATCTCAGTGAAGCTGATCTTTAGTAAAGATGGTAAAAGATCTTGAGTTCCTAGCTGAGAGTCTGGAGGATAAGAGGTTTTCTATTTGGTGACAGATATGAATTACCTGGCTGAGCTTTTGCCCTGTACGATCTTTTCTAAATACATGGTAGCACTGTTCTGAAGAAATAATTTCTGTAGGAAGGGAGGAATTAAGCTTCAGTAGCTTGATGCATCTTTGGTAGTATGGCCACGACTAATAATGCAAAAAGAGGCATAAAATAGTGGGAAAACTTGAGATTTTTCATACACCATGCCTTTCATTTAAGAAAAGCTAAACTACCACTGGATGGCTAAAGCTCTTTTGTGAACCAGAAGTAAGTTCTAGCCTTGAAAAAGTTTGCACAGTCAATTTAGTGTAACATGATCTGTGAACAATCAATCTATAGTGTAACAATAATGAAGAAACAAGAGAACATTAACTAGATAATGCAAGATGTATGTATACCTTTCTTCTTTAAATCTGCTGGTGCACTGTTAGCAGAAGGGGGAAGGAGAAGGTAACCACAATTTCAGTTTTTTAAAGGCAGTTTAGTTTTTTTCTAGGAATTAGGAAAACATGCTATTTTATGCTGCCTAAGAGGAGGTGTCATAATTTAAACTACTTGAGATCCAGGCTCCAATATATTTGCAGTATGTTAAAATGCACGGGGAATATTGCAGAGTGTGTAATAGTCGTGTTGTAATAGTCAAAGTACCAGCCTGAAGTTGTATTAACTTACTTCCTGGATCTGCTGCTGATTCTTCATGTCACCAAGAATCAATCTTCTTTTTCTCTCTATTTCTTCCTCCTCCTATCTTATTTATATTGAAAGATCTCCAGAGCAAGAAGGATCTTTGTCATTTGGGTTAAAAAGCACCCAGCTCAACAAGTATAACTTTCCTTTATAACTTTTCATTTGGAAGTGTTAAGAACTGATTCTGTTGTGAAAATGTAACATTCTTATTTCTTTCTGTGTTTCAGGTGAAATTCCATGCAGAAACCTGTACAAAATTCCTCTCAGCAATCTGGTTGGGCGAAGCATTGAACGACCTCTGAAGTCACCTTTGGCTCCCAAGGTCATCGCTACTACAACATCCAGTGGCATTGCCTCACTTCCAGTTACACACTCACTATCCTTATCTCGTATGGAAATTAAAGAAATTGCAAGCAGAACACGTAAAGAATTGCTGGGTAAACTCTCCTCATTCTTCAGTGTACATAACAGTTGCCAATTATACGCTTTCTAATCTTTGGGCCATCACAGTTAGATTTGTAACATGCAGCTAGTATTCATAAATTATTAAAATGAACAACAAAATGAAACTGTAAGGAAACATTATTTGCAAATAGTACAGCCATTGTCTGATCATGTATAAGATGACCATATTCTAAGCCAGGTAGAGATGGTTAATAATGGAAACTAGCAAACAGATACCTTAACATTTTCATGAATGCTTTATTTTTTGTTGAGAGTATTAAGTCTTTTATTCCTTTATTGAGGCCTTTTGGATGAGCCTATACCCAGGACAGAAAGCGCACAGAAGCACAAAAAGGTTCCTCGAAGACAGTCAGACCCCAAGCAGGGAGCAGTAAGATCGACTAGTAGTGACAGGTAAATATACTGGCTTTAGAAAAGAGACTGAGTTAGACTGTAAATACATTCAGAATTGATTTCTCATGCTTATCTCAGTTGGCTGGGGCTGACTGAGACCTTTGTATAGCCATATGCATTTCATGCTAATGTGTTTGCTAGAGTATCTTATTACGGTAAGTACTGATCCGATTATACTTTTTGCTTAAGACACATTGATGAGCAAAGCAAGACTAAATGGGATTTTGTGGGGGCCTGCTGCAATTGAGCCTGTAATTAAGATTTGGACTACTGAGTCTGCACTCTGCAGACTCTCTTGCTTTTTCCTTTATATGCTCTTGTGTTGCTATTTCCAGAATAAATTTTGTGAAGAAACACCATAGCATTTGTCTATTCGGCACTGACCCCACTGGCATTCTCTTGTTTTCACTGTTTTCATAAGCTGTGTTTGTGTAGAATACTGGCAGAATTCAGCCAAGATACAGGAGACTGAGATTAACCAACCAAACAAAAAATCTGCTTCAGTGTAAAACCATGTTCAGTTTAGTTCTCTATTTGGAAGTTTGTTGGATGAGGGGCTTCATTAATACTACCTTTTGATTATTTTCAGTAGAGTAAAACAGAAGGAAACTCAGTTGCAGTGGTCTGTATCTGTCTTTAGGATAACTTGATTGAGTTTAGAAATAGCCATTGTTCCTTCTTGCCTCAAACTGTGTATTTTTTTTAGTAACTTTTGTCTTCATCTTTGCAGGATAATCTCAAGCTCTTTTGAAAGCTATTCTGAAACACGTCATCTTTCCACTAGTTCAGATCCTGATACTTTAGCGCACAGGGAGGGGAGCTCACCATCTAGCTATCCATTTCAGCTGATTTCTTTATATGATGAAGACATCATTGACTTGAAATGAAGACAGTCATAAAACCTTTGTTCCTTACTTCACATTTTCTTACAACTCTGTGAGCTCTATGGGAATGTCACAAACACTGCTTCTGGTGGTAAAATGTGGCTGGAAGTACTGGTGATAAATCTTTATAGAACCCATGTTGTTCTGGCTAGCACAGCCTGATTTGGTGATGCTTATATCTTTGACATAGGTATGTTTTCTCAGTTAACGAACCATTACTTTTTGTGGCATTCTAACAAGTAGATAATCAATGATAGATTTAGGCTGAAACTGAAGTAAATGAGAAGTATTACTTGTTCTGAGCTTCTTATACTTTGAAGTACCTGAATGACATGCAGCAAAGTTAATTGCTGTTGTGTCTATCATGAGTTGTTTTACAACAGTGTATGCCATGTAAAAAGAGGAATTTTATAATATAAATCAATGCTTTTGGTTTTTCAGTCTTAAACAAAACAACAACAAAAAAAAGAGGCTTGCAGGCAAGGTCATTTCAAACAATGCAGTCAGTCTTTGAAATGATGCAGCTCTGGTATGTTCACTGAACAATCAGGTAAGATATGAGGATACTGCTTTCTTTGCTTTGGCTTGTCCATGCACATTGTTTAGAGAAACTTGAAAACTGTTTTGGCATTAAGAATCCTTGAGCAGAGAAACTTTTTATAGAAAACACAAGCTTTCAAAATATTTCTTAAGAATTGGAAGTAAAAAACCCCTAAAAAACCCACAAACAAACAAGCAAAAAAAACCCCAAATCAAAACCCCAATCCATCTACTGGAAAACTTTTATTGTAGTGCATCTGCAGATTTTTCCATTGCAGGCAGAAGAGCCAACCCCGATTGCTTTGACTACACAGAGATTCCTGTGCAGGCATCAGCGTTAGCTGATGTCTGCACTAGCACCAACAGTGTAAGTCATTGTTCCAGACAGTTGTATTTTTCTAACTGGATGGAGACTGAAATTTCACTGATAATAAGCTAGTTTTCTATGATGAAATAGTCATCTTGGCTCTTATGTTTTATATTGGGTTTATATTGTAAAGTTGATTTCTTTTTTTTTTTTTAACCCTTTCTTCCAGAACCCCTTTGCAAGGGGTTTGTTTTGTTTGGTTTTGTTTTTTTTCATGAAAGCTTGATGCTTCCAGCCTTTTTATATATGAAGTTTTTAGCTTTATTAGCAAGTATTTCTTGTTATTTATGTAGAAATACTCCCGTATCCTTGATTTTATTTCACAGTACCATTCACATGTCATGATTTCACTTTCTGTTCAAGTCTGGTCATCTGGAGATGTGTGCCTTTTTCTGCCATCTGTCTGAATGTAAAACTGCTTTTGCAAAGTACTTTTTTCTCAGTTTATTGTATATAATGGCTGAATTGCTCCACCTAAGAAAATATCTAAGGCTTTATCTGGAAGCATCATTTCTTACTCTCAACTGGAGTGGCTAATCAAGAGAAGAAGCAATATTTTCAACAGCAATTAGTCTAGGAGCAAAAGGCTATTATTACTTTAGTGGGTTTTGCACTCATAGATATGTGGGGTGAGCCTTAATAAGCATCTAAAAGGAAGTACCAGAGCAAAGTCTTTGCAAGAGCTTATAATTCTTTTTTGAGAATGTTATTTCCAGAGACTGTGTTAATTTACCCTATCCTTATTTATGCGGGCAGCTAAGGTTTAAAAAATCAATCTGAAAGTATCACGTGGTGCTTATTCTTCTGGAAGCTGTAAACACTTCTGTACTGAATCCACTTCCAGGGACACTGCTAGCACTTAAATATTTTTACAAAGTAAAAGAACCACGTTTCCCAATAAAATTTCTCAACGTAGTATTTAATTTCTGTTGTGTGGGTGTTTTTGAAGAATATACCAGTGTGTTGCAAAACTGGGACTTTAGTTAAAATATAATTTTAACTGGAAACTTTGCTTTGCCCTGTTAGGATATCAGATTTTAAATACATTGCAGACGTTCATCTGTGCTATTATAGCATGATTTAAAATTATTACTATGGTTCAATAGCAGTTGAAGCAATATATGGAGATTTTAAAACTTGTTGTGAAGAACCTGAACAAATACATATTTAGGTATCCTGAAAGACTAGCCTTAGAGGTGGAGCACTAGAGAGATCAAGAAAAATGAGAAGAGCTTGACAGAAAGCTTGACTCCTGCCTATGATGGTAGTCAGAATGCATATAGGTGTGGCACTTGTGAATTCTAGATATAATTATAGAAGAAAGGGCCATAAAGCAAGAGTTATTTTCTTTAACCAGAAATACAGCAGTAGCTGTAAAGTATTACTTCAAATAAGGAGACTGTGTGTGTGTCTGTGTGTGTGAAAGATCCTTTGAAGGTCTGCCTGTAATCACAGCATTGATGATATCTAGCCAATGAACTGTAAGAGTACAGATATTTGATTGCTTAAGCTAGACAAAACCAGATCAGCCTTGTACTTATCTGGAACAGGATGTTGGTATCATTTGAAGAGGGCAGCCCAGCAACTGCATCCCCTCCTACCTCCCACCTGAATTTTATTCTATAGCTTGATTTGATGGGTCAGGTAGAAGCTGTTACTCAGGTCACAGTGAGAACTGCCAGACCTAACAGACTGTTACTCATATAGGACAGGAAGTATCTGAATCCTGGGAAAAAAATTACGTATCTTCATTCTTAATGTGTCCAGTAAGTGCCTTAACAAGGCTTCCACTTATTGAGTTTTTGCTTCTGTAATTAATCAGTGCATCTTACAGGGATAATATCAGACCTAGCAAAAGAAGTAGGGAGGGATGATGCAACTTCTAGTTTGTTTTATGTGACACCTAGAGATGGTATTTGAGGCTTTAGGGTCATGTAAGTGTAGTTTACTACCTGCTTACTGTATGAGAGCAGCAGAGTATAGGTAGAAGGCAGAGAACATGGTAATAATATTCCAGTTTCATTTGACATGAGCCACAAGAACCAAATTCTGTATCTCATTTATTGTGTCAAAAGACAAAATATCAACACAATAATGTGAAATTGCTGGCATAGCAGGACAAATATCTACTGTACAAGGACATGGTTTCTGTGTGTTCTTAATAGTCTCATCCGACTACCATGAATTCTGTGCTTCTTAGTGTGATGAGTTGGTATTCTCTGAACTAGCTTCTAGTCACTGTTTCTCTCAAAATACTGTCTTAGATCCCTACCATTCAGACTGCTAATCAAAATCAAGAGGCAGTTGGTGGTATTGATATATAAGCTCTTGTGCATCATTTATGAAGGGCAAGGTTTTTATACATCTGTGGAACCTCTCCTACTTCAGACTGCTGTAAGAGGACAAGGCTTGTTAGAAGGCTGCTGGGATGGGCAACTATACTATCTTTCACTCCAGCATTTAGAGCCATGTTGTTTCCCTTCTGCTTTTCCAGCATGTGCATGCATATACTCATTAAAACTTAAAAAGTAATCCTGGGCACAAATTGTAGCCATGTGTACCCTAAGCACAGCCCTTCCTACTTTAACATCATATGTTAAAGCTGCCTGTAGGCTGCATTCTTGATGTTGGCTGACCATCTCATGGTTGGGAGAAAAGATAATCTTTGAATCTACAACTATGTGAGATGGGTGTTGTTCTAATAGGAAAACTGAAAAATCTTGCTACAGGTGGATGGAAGACATTGTTTCCATGATGGAAGAATTGTTACCAGGTTGAACACTTTCTGTCAAGCTAAGGTTAACTGAAGGCCCGTTCAGGACTCTTGGCTAAGTTTCTGCAAGAAATATTTTCTATCCCAATGTGCTGGATTTGTTGGCAGCAGCAGGGCTCTTAACGCCTTTTTGATAATGGTATTGTCACCACTTAAGCACTGTGCCTTAGGGGGACTAAATTACAGGAATGTCATTTACTTTGGTGCAAGCGTTAGACTGTTCAGGCAGTTAATTCAGAATGTACTTGTGCCTCGGCACCAGCATGGGTAACGATGCATGGAATCACAAAATAGTTGAGGTTAGAAGGGACCACTGGATATCATGTAGTCCAGTACCCAACCCCATGAACCTCCATTCAAAAATATTTTCAAAATGGTTATGCAGCACTTTGAGCTACTCATCATCTTTGTCCTGCATTTGAATCACAGCATGCATATAAACTATCCAGCTTTGAAGTGTGACTCAAGAACCCCAAGACACGTGAGCTAAGTTAATTCTTTCACACACACAGTATGCAGCCCTTAAGGCTGAGGCTTTGATGGGCCCTTTCCAAGGTCCCTAAAGCTCAGTTTGGGCTTTAGAAACTGTTGCAGACTAATGGTCATTTTTGTCCAGTTCTTTCTTCTAGTGTCAATGCAGTACACATAAATCTTAAGTGTTTGAAAGTAACAAAACACTTCCTTCTAATAAGAAACAAAGACCCACATGCAATTTGAAAGGTCTATAGCTGTTCATGGTAGCAAGAGATCATGCAGTGAATGGATGCATGCATACATTCTTTCCGGGCTGGCAAGGAAAATGTAGGGCCTGTTGTAGTTACAGTCCTTCCCTTGTCTGGGGCTGAGGTGGGGTTCTTTTGGTTTCTTTTGGTTGGTTTGGTTTCTTGGGGCTGAGTGTGTTTGGTGTGGGGTTTTTTTGGTTGGTTGGTTGGTTTCGTTGTGGTTTTGTTTTGGTTTTTTGTTTGTTTGGTTTTTTTGTTTGTTTTGTTGGCAGTGGTTGGTTGGTTTTTTGGGTTTTTTCGATGCATAACATACATTCAAGTATGCACCTAGAATGAATAGCGGGTTTGCTATCTGCCTTTATGAGATTATTTCTATAAATGCACAAGCATTTGGAATTGATTGGTAGATTCAAATTGATATTTTTATTTTATTTTTTTTAGTACTGTGATAGTCAACTGAATAAATATTTAAATAGTGCTTAATAAGGCAGGGGACGGGTACCGCTATTGCCTAACCAGTTACGTATGGTCAAAGTTGCTGCTCCTGACATAGTTTCTGCTGTTCTATGTATGTTTGACCAAGTAACAGCCAGCTCATGTATGTTTTCTTAAAGGTGTGAGTCTATAACTTGTGCTTGCAGATGCAATGGCTTTTCCAGAGCTGTTGGCTTAGTATGCATTTGAAATATATAATCCTTTGTGTTTGGATTTGGTTTTCAATATATATACATATACACATATACAAATATATATATATTTGTAATTTCCACCATAAATTTTAGGGGATTAAAAGTCCCAAGATTATAAATATAGGAATCTAAAATAATGGGATCATAAAAGGTGGGGGAGGGAAAAGTCTCATCTGCAAGCAATAAGGAAGTTAAAAATAATTTTTGTTGGCTTCTGTGTATGAAAATGAGTACCATACTATTTTCATTGTTAACAATTTGATGTCATGGTTCATGTGCACAGTGCTTGCTAATTCTGTTAAAGCACTATTTTCTCAGATAGGCTTAGTCTGATTTTGTGAAGGAATAAATTATACCCCGGGAACCTAATATTACCAATATGGGAAGGCTCCAGAGATTATGCAGCAAATATTGGTACTTGCATGCAGATTAGAAAGTATTTTTACTCTTATTAGTTGAGCACAGCAATTTCATCAGCTTGTATACTGCCTAGCTGCTTCCCTTTGTTGCTGACCTGTAACTGACTGATTGCTGTTTGCTACTGGAAATCGTGATATTAGCACATGACTTGAAGAGAAAATTAAGATATTATTTTCTGCTTATTTATAGCTCTATTAGGTATTTATCTGGTTGAATGGAAAATGTTATGTCTGTAAAGGTTTATGCAGAGTGTTATCAATCTGAAATGTCCGTTTAATTAAGCCTTTGAATGGTAGCAGACTGCTTTGTAATTTAATAATTGCATATTGTTAAGACTGTTGCTACATTTGTGTTACAAGGCTCTTTACCACTTGTCTTAAATGCTGATGTATTACCATTGGTTTTAATGTCATTTGATAGCGTGTATGGTTTGTGTTTTAGATGTGACATCCAAATAGAAACAGTCCTATTACATCTGGAACTGTTTAAGTGCTATTTATCACCTTTGTGAAGGAGAAACAGATGATTTATTCCTTCATATGTAATAAACAATAAATTTGACCTCACTTCTTTCTTTCACAGATGCAGAACTAGTGAACTCCAAATTTGGAAAGAAAAAAGACAAGAAATTAAAAAGACAGGAGGTAGCATAGAGCTCTGGATTACCGATTCCATTTGTGTTCTTTGAAGGGCTATATCCTACCTGTGAGATTGGTGTTTGTATCTTAAGCTTTACCCATCTTTGACCAAAACTATAATCCAAATTGGTTTATGTTTCCAGGCATCTATTAGACTTTCAGAGACCTGCTTCATTTGGAGATCTTTACCCTTTAAATTAACACTAGAAAAGATGGTATTTTTCCTTTTCTGACTAAGTGTATATTCTTGCTGTCTCCCAGACCCTGTCATTCCTTTTGAAAAACCATCAATCTTTCCCGAAGTCTTGGAGACATTCTCCTAAGAGCTCCAGCCCTTCCTGTGATTTAAATGCATTCCTAGCCAACTTGACAGCAGTAGGAAAAAACCCTCACAGGTGTGAAGGCCAAGCATTTATCTCCATTTGGGATTAAGACTTAGTCAGTGGTCGGGCATCCCAGAAATTGTAGAAGCAACACAAATGTCAAATACTGCACTCTGCAAGTAACATTACCCAGGCTACATCATGACCTTCTTCACTGTAACATGCCATAAAGAAAAGGTAGAGTGAAGCAAGGAAATTTAATTTATTTATTTACAAAATTAAAATCTAATTTACATAGTAGAAGAAAAGATACTGGCATGTCTTCTCATGAGAGGAGGAACAAGAATCCACATTATTACAGCTCACTCCCATACAGCTACAGCTCTGTTCTGCCAGAGAAGACTGTGGCTCAAGGCTCTCTCAGGAGCATCTTTAATAAATTTCCCTATGAAAAGTCACTTCAGATTGTAATTTATGATGCTTAATATAAAAACATTAAATTCTTTGGTTACCAAGAAGGCCATAACCCAGGCAGCACTGGACACACCTCAAGCTAAACGTGGGAAGATTTCGGGTATCACCAGCCATGGAACAGGACTACAGCAACGGGCAAATCCTGCAGTTACAAACAGAAGAGAATAAATGCAAGTTAAGTACATATTAAAGGAAAAAGTAAATAATGTCCAAACTAATCCAGTAAGGGGGACGCAGTTTTCATGTTCAGATTCTTGGACGGTTCCAGCAACACGCTGCCTCTAACAGAAGGACAGAGAATAAGTGATTTTTAAGGCAGTATGATAAACGCTAGTGCATTTTATATCATATTAATTACAGGAATATTCTTAACGAGCAGAAATTGCCGCCCTCGGGTACGAGTCGCAGGCAAGGCACCCCGGCGGGCAGCGAGACGCCTCAGCAGCCCCGGCCCGGGCAGCGGGAGCGCCGCGGCGGGCAGTGATGACGTCAGGAGTGCGCCGGAAGCCACCTGACTGGAGAGCGGCAGGCGCTCCGTGTCCCCGGTGCCGCCGGTTCTCCCGGCTCGGCCAGGCCCGGCCTCCCCTGCCCCTTGCAGCGCTCGGCGCTCCTCAGGCCCCGGGCTCGCCCCCTTTCCTCCCGCCGCGGGTGCCCGTAGGCTGTGGCGCGGGCCGCGGAAGTGCCGGGAGCCGGTCCTGCCGTGGAGCGATGGCCGCAGGGAAGCCCCAGCCCGGTCCGGGCTCCGGGGGGCCGCGCGAGCAGTGGCGACTGCCCGCCGAAGGACACCCCGCACCGGGCCGACTCCTGAGGTGAGCGGCGCGGACTCTCCAGCCTTCGGCGTGCTCTTTGTGTGCGGAGGTACCTGGGGCGGGCGAGGGGAGCCAATCGCGCCGGCTGCGGAGCGCCTGGGAAACAGCCTCGTGCACGGGGCTCCAGCATCGCTTTCGGCGGCCCTTAATTTCAGTATTAGCTTCACATATTGAATACAACAAACACCTTAGAGCTTACCGGATTTTTTATTCAGAGACAGCCTGTTAGAATGTTTTAAAGGGAACACAGGCCTATCTGAATAGCAGATGTGCTCAGCTATATGTGCTGAGGAAAGCTGTCAGCAGTTAAAAGTTACTGTATGAACTTGTGACTCGATAGGGGCAGCTGTTTCTGTGCATTTGACACCCAGAACTTTCTTGTGTTTTTTATCAATAATGGCATGCCATGTGCAGCCTTTTATAGTGAAGACTGTACTTT